TGTTTAAATCATCAGGTTTTCTATCAGTGTTTTCCAGACATGGAATATTATTAAAAGTGTTATAAGAAGCTTTGGAAATATGTTGAACAATAACTGGACGAAGAGGATCATTGGTTGTGGAAGCTGGGTATGCTCTCTCCCTTTTCTCCCGCCTTTTTGTTGACAAGTAGGTGACAGCAACACCTAACTCCCATGTAAGTGTCAATGAGTAAAGCCTATAATGCGGCTCCAGGTTTGGGTTTATTCCTTAGTTTGTTGGTGTTGCCCCATTTTTTCTTTTTAGGCTGAAATTTCTCATTTATAGACAATATATGAGCGTGCCAAATGTCTGCGAACAGCTGCCCAAGTCCCACACAACCGACTCGCAGGGGCTTCGTGCAGAGGGAAGGCATCTCCCACTGCAGGAAGCTGTAACGGTCTGCTCTAGGGGAGATAAGCAGGACTGCTCCTGGTGCTGCTTTCCCCTGCGTTTACCCCGGAGAAGAGGATTACGTAGAGGCTGCGTATGACCCTGCCGCTGCAGCAGTCGCAGCAGCCACCAGCAAAACTAGACAGCGGCGCACGTGTCTGCAGCAGAACTGGACTGTGCTCATGGTTTTGCACTGACCTTGCAGGCTGGCATTCTCGTTAGCTTTTCTGCACCATCCTTTTGCTTCCTATTATTTCTAATTACCTTCCCTTTTCTTCCCACAGATTTGCAGGCTTCCTTTCAGGTGTGTCTGCCAGAAGCTGGTGCCTGCAGCCTTGCTTGTGGTTGCCTGTTGGTGGGCCATGAATTATGGACTGCAGAATTAACAGAGAGAATTACAATAGGAGGTCATTGCTGGACTCTGACCAACATCATTAACACCCAGGTGGTGGCAGTTGGTTTGCCAAATTTACACTGATAAAAATCTCTTTTATATTTAAAACCTAGGCTAGTGCTGGGTCACTGCTGTTTCATACCTTTTTTAAAAAGAGAAATGTTTAAACTAAGGAGGTTGTTGCTGGATAACTGCCTGACTTGCTAGTTTTGAAATGTGACTCAGGCAATCAGAAAGTCTGTCTTTTTTGTGTCTATTGAAACTATTTCATATAAACAAGTTTCTTAAAGAGATTCTGGATGTGGGGAAGACCGAAGGCATGCTGGACATCCTTTAGATTTTAACACTGTCAAAGCAATAGTTAAGATTAAAACCATGATACTTTTTTAAAATTAAATTGTTTCTTCAAATGTTTCGCAGTGTTACCTGCTTTATTTTCCAGGATTGTGCTATCACACATTAATAACAAAACGGACGAGACAGGCTGTTGTTATCTAAGGCTACAGGACGGGCTTTATTTGATTTTTATGTAGTAAAACTAGCATACGAAATGATAGTTCATTGGAAAAAGAGTGGTTCGGATGAGCTAGCAAGCCCGTTGGTTGGAGTGGTACTTGAGGGCCACTCAGGCCAAGCTATTACTTTCCCAGAATTTTTCAGAAATCTACTAATAGATTTTGTATTCTTCTGCCTCTTTTCGAAGTAGAGCTTAGAGTTGCCCAAGACTTTGGAAAAGAGGGTTTTTTTGATGACACATGTCTTTTTGGAAGGCACGTGCTCAGTGGGAAACGGATGACTAAGGGAAGTCTGAGCAGAGCTTACCGGATGACGAAAGTGCCGGTGTCACCCTCGCATACACCGCCAGCGCTGTTCGGACACAGCTGGGCTGCTTCTCTCCCAACAACACGGCCCAGCCGTACCAAGCTGTTCTCGACACCTGGGTGCATCTCCCATACCCTTCGCTGTTGAAGCTGCTCTTCGCTGTGTACAGTTGCAGACTCTCTCTCGGAGAGAGAAAATGAAAGTGCCTCTCTGTGGTTTGGGCATTCCCCTCAGCAGAGGGGATACCTGCTTCCTGCCTTATCAGGCAACTACTACAGTTAGCGTGCTTTTGAAACAGGAAAATACAGTATTTAATGGCCTAACGACTAAAGCACACATCTGAGAGGTTGGAGTTTGAAGTTCGAGTCCCTGCTTTAAATCAGACAAGGAATTTGAGCCACTACTTCCTTCAGTGGAGACAAATGGCAAACACAGTCAAGTTTAAGCGGGTTGAGGAATGTGTTTCCTCCCTTTCGTGAATGGTGCCCAAATCCCATTATGATCCTAACTGCCCGTCTCAAAAAATTCTTCCGGGGGAGGGAAAAAAAAAAAAGTTCAGCTAGAATATTTCATTCAGCCATTTAATGTTAAGGGACCTTGACATATCTTTGATTGGCTTGACACGCAGGGCAAAAAGAAGGTATGCAAAGAAGGTACGTGGAGGGTGAGGGCTCCAGCATACCCCGAAAGTTCAAGCAGCAGCTGCAGCACACATTCCACTGTCACCTTTTCTCAAAATGCCCTCAAGCTGATTTGCCCTCAGCAGCAGGTATGCCAGTTTTTCCTAGAAAAGCACGGTTAGCGCAGTTGGAACCTTGGCCCCACTCAGGCCAGGAGCTGACCAGCTCAATTGCCCGTAGAACGAAAAATAGACAAATGTTTCATCAGCGAACTGACTGCTCAACTCCGTAACAGCAGTCTGACAGAAAATATCGTAAAGTTATTACTTAGTGAAGGGTAAAAATTCCCATCAAGAGTCTAATAATCAATCTATGCACATGTAATAAAAGCACCAGCTGCCAAAAATTTGATCCTTCCCATCCGAATCACTTTAACACTATAAAATAATTTCAGTTATTTCTAGAGCAATGAGAAATGGGAGACTGCTGCGCTGCCTATTCTGTCCGAGAGCTGCATGGGATGACTCTGCTTTTTCACACTCTTGCAATCGATAATGTCACATTTTGAATCACAAGAGAGGGGAAGTCCAGTGTCCACCATGTATGGAGCAAAACACCGTTGCAAGGAATATAAAACGCAACCACACCAACAAAGCAAGCAAAACGAAGCGAACAGAATCTCCAACAAGCATCAGCGCAAACGGGAGTACAGCAGCAAGCAGCAATCACCAGGGTCCCCGCTCACCTGCAGAACAAGCAAAGAGCCTCTTAGTTAAGGCTCTGCACCGTGACTCAGGAGACTCATTTTTTTTTTTTTTTTTTTTTAACTGCACACTTCCTCATGTGACAGAGTTTACGGCACTCGATTTTTTTTCCACATCCTGTTTCTGCTTGTTCCTAGGTAAAGGAACCATGCTGACTTTTCATGTCTTAAACATTCATTTCCCAGAAGCAGCAGGGATAGATGAGTAAGCACATAAAAGAAAGGCAGATAACAGTACTAAGATCCAGGATTCTTAATTACTCCACGTGCTGCTCTCCGCCCGGCCACAGACGAGTTTTACAACATGAGACACCTTTCTGCCAATTTACAGCCATACACCAACGCGACGTCGTGCTGCCGGGCACTGCACGAAAAAGCAAGCCCTGAATACTCTCAATGCAGAGGTATGAAGCCCTTTGTCACGCCTTGTTAGCCGATATAAACTGCAACATCAACACAAGAGTAGGATACTGCCTGGCTTCTAGCTTTGAAGATGCGTGGGGTGCAGCCTCAGCAACTCACAGCTTGCTGCCTCGGGTTAGGCCCGGCCGCTGCACAGAAGAAAAGCAAATGCCCACGCGGTGGCTACAGTTCCATCTGCCCCCTAATTACACAGGGCCCACACGAGTAGGATGCTCGTAGGGTACAGACGTCCCTCCAGCACTCTGCAGCTGACGGAGGTGCAAAGGTTACCCAACGTTCTGCATTCGCAGACAGATCTGTAGCATGTTTCTCCCAAAGAGCTTTTATTTTAGGCAGTGTGCAACAAAGTGAAATGAGGAAAGGAAAAAAAGAAATGTATATATTTATGGTAGGAACAATACAAATAGAAAACAGGCCTCCAGAATTTCCACAAAAAAGTTAAATAATTAAAAAATGCATACTAAAACCAAAATTAGTGCCACCAACATGCCATGCTCATAAAATCTGGTTATTTTATCATAAAAGCTGGTTTCAAAGTCACTAATGAGACAACTGAAATACCAGCATTCAGATTCTCCTCCCCAGCACTCGGTTGCTGCAGGGCTCACCCTGTCCGAAGGTGCCCCCGAAAAGATCCTTCCACCAAGTTCCCAGTGCTGCTGTTTTCTGCTCCGTCAAGAAAAGTCACCCAAAGGGCCAATTCAGCCTATGCAGCCTCAGAGGCTTGGTCAGGGATGACAAAAGCCCTGCACGCCTGGGGAGGTCGGGAATTTCGGTAAGCCGCTTCATTCTGTAAAACCGTTCTCCTCCCTTTGGTAACTCAGTACAACCAAGGCGGCACTGGACAGCAGGAGGGAAAATTACCTCCATCCACAGATGGACTATAGGCCACTAATCATGCACTCCACAGCATTAAAAATATCAAGGAAAGCTTTATAGTTTATTTATAGTTTAGCCTTAAGAAAAGCATGTTGCTAATAACATCTTCTGCCTCGCCCAGCTTCTACCTGGCAATACGGACACAAAATAAAAAGAATTTTACGCAGGTGAAGATCCCACAAGTCAGTCAGGTTAGAAAACAGGATCACCAACGTACCGAAAGCCATACCAACCAGAGGGCTTCTCTAAACGTGCCCTTGAGCCCAGCGCAGAGCCCTCCAACACCCGGAGCCAACAGCCCCATCCTACTCCGTATCCATCCAGGAGACCCTTGCACCAGACAGCCAAAGCTACTGACTTCAACTTGAATCCACACCCCAAAAAAAACTTGAAAAAAGGAAAAAAGAACAAGAGAGAGGAAGTTGCTTGCAGGATTGAGGCCAAACAGAAGGCTATTTGGCGCATTTATTGGCAGTTTTGCAGTCCCGACGCTGATGGAAGAGCCAGACTTTGCTCTCCCCTTCCACCCCTGAGGCACACGGGGAAGGAAAACGTTCATTGCGACTACGCGCACGGTGCTCTTCTCATCAAGAGAAGCTATGAATGTTTGACTTTCTCTTCTGGGAGCACAAAGTTATTTCTAAATTGGGCAGAAAAAACAAGTTGTGTGGATTTTTCTCAAAAGGCTACTTAGGCCTCTGCTTCTTCCTCATCCTCCAGAGCATCTACATGGTTATATTGTTTCCAGGCCTTTAAATTACATTTTTTGAGAACGGCTCCTAGCTGCTTCCCAGGCCCCACTTCGTAGGTG